ACAGTTCCTTTGATTCAGTTCACTTAAAAGATTTCTTCTGATTGATTCAGTGGCACTTCCCACTTGCATAAAATAGACCTGAAACCCTTGTGCTCCGATATGTCAAAAAAAACAGCCCATTATTTAGGCTAAATAGTGCTAAGGAGTAACCTAAATACCACTAGTAAGTCTTGCCAACATTGTACCTTAGCTACTCATGTTTATTAAAAACACACACCTAACAGCTCATCCAGATGCGCAGCAACAGGACAGACAGCACAGGTAATGGCCTGGGGCCCCGAGCTGGTAGGGGCCCCCCAAGAGCCCACGATTACAAACTAAATTCCAACAATAAATCTGACTTTATTTGTGCATTCTGTTCTGAAAATAAAGGTTTTGTGTTTATTAAATTCTCTTTGTTGATATTATTAGTTTACATTTCACAGTACAATAAAGGTAACAAATTTAACCATGTCAGGTGGGATGCATTGAAGGGTCCCACTGAGTTCTTTGCCTGGGGCCACCAATGTTCCTAGAATCGCCTCTGAACTCATCATAAAGTTAGATAACCAGTCCAAATGCTAGTTTAAAATCATTTTAAATCGTGACATTTTTGCACCTCTAACATCCAATTGCAGCATATGGGAAGTAACTGCACATGCAGGCTATAAACTATACCAGTAGGTGGTGTATTTCAGTCAAGGCCGAGGTACAGCTCTGGGGTGAGTTTCCCAAAGCGTTCTTAACGCTACGTCGTTCTTAAGTTCTGTGTTAAAAGATAGAACTAACGAACGACGTAGTGTTAAGAAGGCTTCGGGAAACTCACCGCTGGTCTGTCTGTGTCTCTCTTTCACTGACTCACTCACCAACTCGTTCACTCCTTCGGGTCTCTCGTTCTCGTTCTGGGTGCGTTTCCCAAAAGTCACTGCTAGCAACTTACACAGTTGGCCCAATCGGTTGCAATTCATTATAAATGTATAGATACATTGAATTTTAAATGATATACGTAATATACGTACACACATACCAGTCACAGGTCAAAACATTGTTAAATATGACTGAATTATAAGCACCAGAACTGGTATTAAATAGAGAGCCTTTTGAGATCCGAGTGGAGCCAAACAATGGCTAAAAATATCCGGAATTGCCATCTATTTTTCCTTCCAAAATCACTTTTACCGATAAACATAAATGAGATACAAGGAACACAGTCCATATATTACATACAAAACTTAAAACCTTGCCAGGAATACGTATACAGATGCATCAAAAGAAAAGACAAAAAAGAAAAAAAACGTATAGTATTTTAAAGTCTTTTATTTTTGTACATTTGGAACATTAAAACCTAGGCTCAAGATACATACATTTTGTGCCTCCACCTGGGGGGTATTCCCTGAAAGTAGCTAAAGAAAGTCAGACTTTCCTGAAAAAGTCTGACTCAAACTAGCACCATCTATACAATTAGCCTCATGTCGTTCCACTAACGCAGTTCAGCTTTAACTAATCAAGGCTCATACAAGACAGACTTGTATAGTCTCACTTTGTGCGCACGACCGAGATATTTAAGAAGCCCAATTGAATAGATGAACGATAGATCGATCAAATGGGTCAGAACGCATGTTAAACGAGAGCATACAGCTGATGGAGCTGTATGAAAAATACAAAGATATAATCACTAAAAAGGCAATACTGTGGCCATAAATACAGTCAGGGAGTTGGCTTGGCAAAGAATTGCAGACAGACTAAATGCATAAGTTATGTAAATGTTACAAGTGCCATAGTACAGTGGCACGGTGGTACAGTGGTTTATGCTGTCGCCTTATACTGCTAAAGTTCCTGGTTCGACCCCCATAGCCAACAGGGAACCTTCTGGGTTGAGTTCACGTGTCGTTCTTACTGTATAATGCTATTCTGTATTATTTGATCTCCGTAAAATACTTTTCAATCACACCCGTGTGAAATGTTCTGTACAAATAACCATATCTTGTCTTTGCTTTTCACTAATAAACATTCAAAGTAGACCTTGACTAAACAAAATATAAAAATATATTCCTGTTCATATTATTTTAACGGATTTTTTTTTCCAATTTCAGTCATTGCATTTCATGTTTGACCTTTGTAATATGGGTACGCTTTTATTTGAATTATTTTGGAAGTAATTGGAATGCTAAGACGTGATTTTTTAATAGACTTTATTTTATTTATTACATGACATGAGTAGTGAGAGCGTGGAATTTCGTCCGACGTGTGGGAACAGATTCCCAAAAATTCCGCGTTCTTTGAGACAACGCTTAACTAAGCAAGACAGTTAACCTGTGGCCTGTACTACGAAGTGGGGTTACTGGCTTATCGGGGTAACTTGTCGGATTTAAGGTAGTCTGGGCAAAATGTAAGTGAACGAATATGAAGTCCATTTAAACTGTGGTACCTTAAATCCGACAAGTTACCCTGATCAGTTACCCACCCCAGTCATTTGTTCTGTAAATGCCACTGGTAATCTCCGCAAAAATCATCCATATTTCAATCGTTCTCCATTTCGCCCCTTTACAAGGACGGAAAGAAAATCTGGATAACTTTATAACTCATCAGATTTGATGACAATAAAACCAGCTTCTGCAAGCCTTGACCCTTTGTGGTAAAACATATGTGGGATATTAGTAATACCATGGAATTAACGATATAAACCTTTAGACTTACGCACAAATAAAGGTTCACATAAAAATATTTAGATGTTTAAAAAAAAATTAAAACATAGTATTCTAGTGTGGTTAATTCCAAAGAGGCTGCACATCTGTGGTCTGCCCAGGGTAGCTGGGGTATAGTTATAAGCAAAATACAGGTTGTCTGCATTTGTTTAGCTGAGAACGATGCTATTACTATGGCATTAACTGAGGCAGCAAATGTATTTCAGATGACTGGATTTTTACTGAAAGCTCAGTTTCTTCCCTCCCTCCCTCCCTCATGAAGAGGTCTTTTTGATTATCATACTGTTTAATTTCACTTCCATCAGCTGCCCACTATAGTGATGAGGTCATAAAACAAGGCCCTCAATGCATCTCTAAGACGCCCAGACAGAGCCGGGCTGCAGATGCATCGCTGACACCACAGCTCTTCATTGCATGATATAATTACTCCCTTCTGCATAATTGATAAGACAATATGGGCCACGTTTCTTCAGAGGAACCAGTTATTTCAAGGAACTCTGAGTCTGGTCCTAAAATGATCAGCCGATATTAACCTCTTGACAAGCCGTAATGAAGCAAGGAAAACATTTCATACGGCTCAATATATTTAAACAATCTGGTCTTCAATTATTCCAAACGCTAACGCATGTAAACATAGGTGTATCATTTCTTGTTTTGAAAAATTCAGCTCAATATTTTTTACATTTACATCGTCAATTGAATTTGATCTAACCGCACTTCCTGATTTTTCCATCTAAACACATCTAAAACCCTCTTTCTATAATAATATTACATCTCTCAGTCCCAACAAAGCACATTACAGATCCTATATGGCTGGATGAGATTTTAAAATCATTTTAATATTTCCCATGAAAAATGAATTTAATAGATATTGTTTATAACAATCCATACATTCATCCATCTTCCCACCACTTATCGTGGCCACGGTCGTTGTGTGGGGCCGCCTGTGATAGGTACCGAAAGTACGAGTATACACTGAACGGCACGTGATGACATTAGTGCTTTCCTACTATGCTTCTCCACTAACATGACCCCTGCTGTTCCCTGTTAGAAAATAAATGTAACCCACCCATAATACAATCCTGACCAAATGCAAAAGCATTTGTCTACCAGGTTCACTTTACATGCCAGTGCTCTGGTTGGCTGTACAGTATATTGACCTGTGTGGGTTTCAGCCGGCCTGACCTGCCACTACCCAGCCTTCCCTCCATCTGAATATCATGTGAGTGGACATGATGACTGTTCCTCTCAAGGATAGAAAACGGCAGACGAATTAGACTACATATTACCATGGCAATTTATTGAATGTGACCTCTTAATTGTTTAAGGAAGTTACATTAGCAATTTGTAATTGGAAACATTCCAAGGAAAGCCACACTAGCAATAATTAAAAACAAAAATAAACAGAATAATCTTAATAACAGGTTAATCATATAAATACATCAATGTGATATTTCCCCCCACAACCATCAATATGAGGCCACCTAGCTGTAATTATTGTTATTATTTTAAGAAGAATAGCCGAATTTACTATGAATGTATTATTCCCTAACTATATTTACCTTTAAATATGCTTATATATAAAGACTCTTAATAACATCTTAATTATTATATGTAATTGCTCATGTATGAAACAGCAATGCATGACATTTACACTGAAATGTATGTAGTTTAATTACTGTACTTGTATGCATATTACCTGAGTTGCAAGTCATCTAGTACAAAAACATCTGCCAAACATAAATGTAAATGCAATACTTTTGGTGCAGTAATCCCAATAGAAATGCCAATCACTAATATATGCTTAAAATTGCCATATCATCCTATACAGATAATGCAGTTAAATTATAGATACAGCATAATTAACAGCAGTTTAACTTCATATCCCCAAGTCTTCTTTGCCTACCAGTTAGCAGCGTTCTTGCAAACACTAGAGCATTTTGTCTATAATGATGAAATTAAGCAGTTATGTTATAAAATAAATAATAAGGATGATTATAAAACAAAGATAGTTTCACACTTATCTGAATTGTAAAGTCCCAAATTGTTTCTCTTACATGCTAAGAACACTTTTTGTATATTTAATGCTACAGTATTGTCCATAGCGAAGTATAATTATCCCAGAATAACCATGAAAACCAGTGATAGATGACAGAACTGCAGGACAAATATGAGAGACTGCTGTTCTTATGTTATGTATAAGTGTTAAACTGTAGCTCTCTTGTTAATACCAAGAGCACATGTACATCACACCACACAAATCGCAAAAAGGACAAGTTTCTCCTCTGCCTCTCCGATAGAACTCACCATTCAACGATATCACTGTCGGGTCTGGTAGCAAGGGGAGGAAGAGGAGGAAGAGGAGGTACACCACAGAGAGACCATTATATCGGAAGCAGATGGCTATGGAGAAATAAGTTATGAAAAAAAGTGAAAATTCATTTTAGGTCAGAAATACCATCATAAGTAATACACAGGTCTCATCATGCATTGTTTTTGTAGCACACCCACTGAAAGGAAAGCACTTATCAGGAATCCCATCAAATCTACTACTTACCAGCTAGCAAAAGCAAAGGCAGTAATAACTTATAAATCACTCCCACCACAGTGTTGCGTGCCATGTCTGCATAGAGCCTCACAGGGCTCCCTGCACAAACTGGACGCACTGCTCTTCTGAAGGAGCTGAAGCTCCTCCCTCCTAGTCAGCTGGCAGGTAACACCATCCAATCACACGAGTCCCTGCTGGCGTTTCAAACATGCTACATGTGTAGCATAGAGGAATTCCATTTTGATGCTTTCTCTGATCCTTTAAATGTGATAGCCACACACACTGCTGATGCAGAAAGCATTAAAATAAGTAAATATCTTTAAAATGCTACTCATCAGATTTTTATCGCAGTAAGCCCTGATCCAGCATACTGGTCCAGATAAGGACCAGTGCTCTTGGAGGGGGTCATGCCTCTTTCCTGGATATGGGCAAGCATCTTTGCTTGGGACGCCTATTCCTGAACAGCAGGAGACGATTATCCAGTGATAATCATGGTGGGATGCAGTTGCCAGTGCAGATCATTGTTTGTCTCATAGTTTCTATGGTCAGTTTGCTTCCTTTTCAAAAGTTCATGGAATGTTCATAAATCATTTTTCTGCATGGGGCAAGTGTATTTAATATTAATGATAATTGTCCCATTAGCTGTTAGCAACTGCACTGGCACAATGTGGGAGAAAATTAGAATTACAGGAAGGGCTACATGTCAGGAGAAGAAAAATACAAAGGCTGCTTTCTGGTGAATAATTTAATTTAATTCTGGATGATATTTCAAAGAAATTAATTAGATTCAGAGGTGATACAGTGGTTAGCATTGTTGAGTGTTGGTGAGTGTTGTGTGAATATGCGCGTTAATGGTAAGTGTTGTGTGAATATGCACATTAATGGTAAGTGTTGTGTGAATATGCGCGTTAATGGTGAGTGTTGTGTGAATATGCGCGTTAATGGTGAGTGTTGTGTGAATATGCGCGTTAATGGTGAATGTTGTGTGAATATGCGCGGTAATGGTAAGTGCTCCCTGCGAGGGGTTGCTGCCCCAACCTTGGGTTCTTCCCTCCCTTGCACCCATAGCTTCCGGGAGGGGCTCTGCACCCCCCACAGCTCTGCATAAGACATGCAGACATGGATCATGTGATGCAATATACAATAAGAACACTGCACATGAACAAATATAGACAAAGTATGGAAAAATATGTCAAATTAACACTGAAGCTTAAAGATTAATACAGACGCTCCTCTACTTATGAACGAGATACATTCCGAATGGCCATTCGCAACTTGAAAAGTTCATAAGTCGTTATTCAACATCATTTTAAGGGTATACGCAAGTACAAAGAACTAGGATACTGGGAGTACGCACGCTACGCTGCTGCTAGGTGGGAGTAGCGGCCAGAAGTCGTACTAGGCCGAATTGGTGCGCTGAAAAAAAAATTGATGTTGTGGACAGGAAACAGAAGCCCAATGAACACAATTTGGACTTACAGTCCTCTTCGTTCGTATGTCTGAAAGTTTGTAAGTTGAAAGTTTGTAAGTAGAACAGCGTCTGTATATCAATAATATAAATGAATAAATCAGAAATGGTCAACCAAAAAGATTCAGTGTAATGTGTAAAATAATGGACCAATACTGATAAAAACAAATTTTCCGTCTTACACATTCCTTAAATTTTATATTTTGTGTTATATAGTTTATATATTTATATTTTACATTTATATTTAACACTATTAGTGAAGTACAAGGCTGTCCACTAGCAGAAAGAAAATAACTGCATTAACTGAATACTACAACATGTATTCAGTTACATTCGGTTTTATTCAGGAATGAAGTTAATCTTAGCAGCAGCTTCATCATCTTAGCAGTTTACATTCTGGGTCAGCTGTAGGTGCCTTGACTGATGGCTAACATGCAGAGACCAACCTGTATAAAATGAACATATGCTATTTAACGTACTGTCTTCATGCTCTCCTTATTTTCTTTGAATTATTTTGGTCACTTTATACAGCTAATATTATACATGCAATTTAAATGATGTACAGACATTATTATAATTCAATATTAATTATTAAACAGCACAGTATATACTGCTATCCACTGCCTCTCTTCACCTAGAAATTATTCCCTTGTATTCATTTAAGAGCTAAATATTTATTGAAATGATTATTTTCTACATTTAAGCAACTGGTGTATCACTGCTTGCCCTGCTCCAGTTCAGAGGTTAATAATACTGCAGTAAAACCACAGTTTGAGTTTTAGCCATCGGCTCCCTTGGCGACCACAGGAACATCCTTCCAATAACGGAGGTCATTCCCCACCGTCTTCACTGCCCTCCCCTTGTACTAGATAATACTTTCCAGTGGGCAGCTTGGGCCTTGTAGTGTGTAAAGACAGCATTTGGCGCCTGAGGCATTTGGACTGCATAATTTACACCGTGTACAATTATATGAGCAAGTTACATGATGAAGAGAAAACTCATAATCAGTACTGTACAGATTATGTTAAATTAGATCTAATCAGATCCATTTCCAAATGGTTGTCCAAAGCATGGCTTAGTGGGCTAAGACACAGCGCCTGTGATTGCAAAGTCACTGGGTCAAACTGCCGGGTCGTCAGAGTATCACCCTTTGGCCCCTGCGTAAGGCCCTTAACTCCCATTGCTCTGTGGACTGTCTGATCCTGCTTTTGCAGTTGTATATTGCTTTGGATAAAAGCATATGCTAAACAAGTTCAAATGTACTGTGGACTTCTAGAATAGGAAAATGAATTTTATGAAAGCTACACCAAAAAAATGTTTCTTACTTTTCTGCGTGTGCTGGTGACCTCTGCTGGCGATTCTGTGCAATTACACCACCTTGCTGCAATATTCATGCTGTAAGAACAGAAAAATCACGAAAAAGACTGTGACGGCAATGACTTCTCTAAGAAAAGGGTTCCAGGGGAACTGCATTTACTTCGCTGGCCACACCATATTTTAATTTGTTTTTAAATAAAATATTGTTTTAATGAAAGGTTATTTCACTTTCAACAATCTGAAACCCAAGTATGCCAGTTAGCTTTTTTTCCAGCGTTTGTAACTACAATTTTGCTGCAATTTTACCATTGGACTTAGGGCTCATTGTACTAAATTAGTTAAGTAAGCGCTAAGCGCCGTTGTCAGTACAGCGTTTAAGATACTTAATCCTTAAAGATAAGAATATTCTTTCAGAATCTCAAATCATTAACTACACAGAGCTATACCATGAAATATAGTCGCAGACAGAAAACGCTAGAATGGACCAGTAAGGTGAAGCTTTCAGCTTAGACATTCAGTAAGTTGCTCTCTGGACTAGATTTACATTGATTACCAGAAAGACTGCTGAGCAGGCAGCTAATATTTCAACGACAGTGCAGCTAAAAGTGCTGCTAGGACACGAATATTATGGAGAAAGTGCTATTAGTGGTTTTTCCGTGCAAAAATGGGTGATAAGTCTGAAGCAGATGCTTCAATACATGTTTGGAGTTTACGCTCAGATGGCACCTGGAAGCTTCAGGAAGGCCAGCCCAAGCGATCAGCAGCTCAGCACTGAAGACACTTGCTCATTTCAGTTACTGTTCCACAGGAAGCAGCCATCAGAAGCAGCGGCGGCATCAGAACTCGTCTGCAAGTTGTCCCTTTAAATGTAAGAAGTCAAAGACACATAGACAAACTGGTCAGTGTCATCAACAATGGTACAGTGTAAACCAGCAAATTCTGGGATATGGACCCATTATCCACACATTAAAGCTATTATGTCCACAGTATTACTGCATTTACAGGGAATAGAAATACAGTGTAATAGCTTGTAAAATGTTACTACTATGAAATCAGTAATAAACCAACTCATTAATCAATACTTCACTAAGACAATAGCTTGTCCTGTATGCAGAACACTGTACTAATTACTTTTTTTTCCCAAGTAAAAAGTGTGAGAAACTTCAGTTCAGTGAGGTTGTAGCTTATGATACAGTACAATTTTTATGTATATTCTCATTTTTCTATAGCATGATTTTTTTAAAACATTTATGGTGTTTCTCTGTATTCCATACTCTGTTTTGTCTCATAATAAAGAGAGTCTGCTTAAAAAATTACTTTTTCCTTATAGAATTTAGAAATCAGTGGTCATTGTTGACACACCACAACACAATGTGTCCTCTGCATTTAACTCATATGTGACATAGCGGGGGGCAGCTAATTCAGTGCCCAGGGAGCGGTGCTTGGGGGGGGGGGGGGGGGTGGCACCTTGCTGGTCGGGGATTTGAACCTGCAATCTTTCAATTATAAGTGCACTTCCCAAACCATTAAGCCACCACTGCCTTAACTGGACACGTATCCCACATTGCAAATCTCTATTAGGTGAAAATATGAATCTAAACATCCTTAGCAACTTGTTAACAGTTATAACTTCATCAACCACAGGTTGGGGTTTGGCTTTGTGGGTAAGTGCTCTTGGTTCAAATCCCGTGGCTTTTTGAATGCTCACCCTCAAGCAAGACCTTCAACTCCTGTTGCTCTAAGGACTGGTTGACCCAACTTTCTTGATTTTTGTTCTGTTTTGTATTGTCTGCTTGCCTTAGGCTATTTTCCAAGTGATTCAGTTTTTATTGTGTTTAAGATTAAGTTATGGTACATTTTCAGTTTAGGTTCAGTTTTAGTTAACTTTCAGCTCACAAGCAGATGCACTGTAATTACTGCTGTATGATTTTCTGCTGTAATACAAAATTGATTGCGAGCCATCCACTGCTTAAGGCTGCAGTGTAACACCAAACCTTGATACGCCAACAATCCTATGCTTCACAACTGGGATGCATTTCTTTTGTTGGAAAGCAGTGTTTTGTTTTCACCAGAGAAAAATGTTTCTCATTTTTAACATTTATAAGCGCTTTAGATCAGCCACTCGGACTTTGGTAAACACCAGGCAGAGTCATTTCTTACCTTCATTAGCGTCATCGACATGGTGGACCATCATAAATTAAATTAAATATCAGTGAGTATTACCCTGAGGTCCTTTTGGAGTATGATTAGCTATGAGCTTAATTTTAGTTGAATGACCTCTCCTAAAAATTTTAAAAGGTTAAATATACTCTGGCTTGGGGTGGTGTGGTGGTGCCATGTTCAGTCCTGTTGCCTCACACCTCTGGGACCAGTGTTTGAGTTCTGTGTGTGTGTGGAGTCTGCATGATCTCCCTTTGTCATTGTGGGGTTTCCTCTGGGTATTCTGGTCTAGCCCCACAGTCCAAAAACATGCTGAGTTGAATTGGAGTCACCAAATTGCCCATAGGTGTGAATGGTGTTTAAGTGTGCTGTGTGATGGAGTGACACCCCACCCTGGGTAATTCCTTGCCTTGCACCCGTAGCTTTTGGAAGAGGCACCAGACCCCCCCGTGACCCTGAATAGGACATGCGGGTACAGAAGATAGATGAATTTCCTCTATTTCTAAACCAGCTACCTGACTATGAATGGGAGAAGGCCAAAGTCTTCACACATGGATTTGCACTCCTTTCCAGCTCCAAGAATATCAGCAACACTTTTCTGAAGTCTTTAGAAACCTCCTTTTAATGGGCTTAATTTACATCCTTATTTTATGAACATTGGCCTCTGAAGGTGGCACTCAACTTTGATTTTTTAGTAGGGGGGACTCTTCAGACCCAATTGTCAGCTTGATAATACTGACAATTGACTGAAATGGCTAAATGAGCTAAACATTTTTTCAAGACAATGCAATTGGGTCACTATATATAATGGATCAATGTTTTCAATAAAGATGTGATAAAGTGGATTTTTTGTGTATTTTTAGTCAGAATCTCCTTAGTATTGGCACTTAGAGACACATTAAACAGCAGTTTTACATTAACTGTTTTGAAATTGCATTTGTGATGATAGTATAAAAACAACGCTTCTGTATTTCCTTCATTTTTGCATTTCCTTCTTTAACTCAGAGGCACTGTTGTGGACTGTTAAGAGATACTTCTTTAATATCCATGTGAAAAGGCCTTAATGCTTTATAATGTTTACATTTTATTAATGCAGTATGCATCCATCCACTTTATGTTTTCCTTTATTTACTTTACATTTTATTTAGCAAATAGCACATTATAACATATGGCTGTCAAGGAGTGAGCTACGCATAAGCACAGCTATGCTGAGCTTCCAGTGTAAGCAGTATTGGATTAGCAAAAGCCCTGATCTGAGTCCTACTAAGAATTTGTGGAAGGATTTAAAAACTGTCAAAGATCTGACACAGCTTGAGAAGGTATTCACCTCCTCTAAAGCCTGGTGTAAGATCTGCTGCCAACACTCTGCCAATACTGATTTCAGAGTTGTGAATGTTATATATTTTTTAGTTACAGAATTGTCACGGAAAAAAAATTTATCTAACAATCTAGTTGTTCAAAAACTTCAATTACAAAATTTAGGTCTAATTAAATACTATTTTTTAGACCTGCTGTTTTGTAAAATCACTAAATGAACATTTACGTTCCTAATATAAACTTTGCTGCCAAACCAAGTACACAAATATTCTATAAGAACATAAGAACATAAGAAATTTACAAACGAGACTTTTACGCATTTATTAATAAAAATATTTAACCAACTGAAAGACAATATTTTAAAAAACAGAATACATTTTCCGCAAAATCTAAAGTGTACATGCAACACCACGACATGCTAACACTTCCCATCAGGAGTGATTCTAGCTATTGAAAAGATCAGGGGCTAAATCAAGTTTACCTGGGGCTTAACTTTTTTTTTCTTCTTCTGAATGAAGATTGGCATCGAGACTAAAATACTCGGGCTATAGCCCCAAGTGATCGGACCTAACGACGCCCTTGCTACCCATCCTGTTTGACAAGATTTGCATTACATCGGCTCAAATGGCATCCATTAATGCTTGCCTTAACAAATATTTACCAAATTATCCACCTGTCTAGTTTTATAAACAGGGATGGACATAACTAGTACGCAAGTACGCATTCACCCTTAAAAAACAATACTTGCGAAAATGCGTACTTATTTTATGTTAATTTGCGCTGATATGAAAACAAAATATAATGAGTTTTAATCTTTACATGCTAACTATACTTCATTTGCGGTATACAGGTTTAAGTGCAAGGTATTTTCTTGTCATAGCAGCGCAAATGCACGTAAAATAAATACGCGTTTGCGCAAGTATTGTTTTTTAAAGGTGAATGCGTACTTGCGTACTAGTTATGTCCATCCCTGTTTATGAAGTAATTTATTGGTATTAAAGCATTTAAGATAGATAGTTAAAATATCGATAAATACACAAAATAAAGACTTTAGGCTCAAAAATATTATCTTTTTATTCTTTTTAGGAAAATGCTGAATCCATAGTCGTGTAGAAATCTGATCTAAAAGCTGGGTCTAAAATTAATTGCAGTTTTGAGTTACCCTCCTCGCCCACCTTTTTGTTTCCATGCTTTTGGTTCACAAAACTTTAAGCCCCATTTCATAAAGGATCTCGGCAGAGAGCTCATCAAACTACCAGGACCCCTGGCAGCAGAAGGCTCCCCATAAACACAAAACGGGTGATTTAGAAACCCCGATTAAACTATTCGGGGGGGGGGGGGAATCCCGATCTGAGAGGAGGAACATTGCGGAGGCTGCGGGAGGAATTCGACCATGAACCCAGAGGCGTGCGGTGTAAAATGCATGACAATGTCAGCATGCACACTGATTCTCTTAAAACAACAAATGTGTTTATACTATAATTATATTTAACAGGAAAAAGTTGAACTGAAGTGAGATGTCAGTGTTTCGAGAAAAGCGCCCTTCTCCGCAGAATTGCAAAATGGTGACGTTTCCAGCGGTCACGTGACCTGACGCGGCTCGTTCCCAGGGTTCCGCGAGCGCTAGTCGCCCCACCCCGCCTCTCCAACGCTGCCTTTTCAATGTGCAATTCCCGAAGAAAAGGGCCGAGAGACGCGAAATGGCCAAAAGAGACGCCTTTCTTGTTCTGTATCCCTACGCCGTTTGCAATTGAAAGGATCGCAATCAGCCTGGAGTTCGTTCCGTGATCCGCCACATATTCATAAATCTATATGCACTTGAATATCTGCCATTCGAATTCAAAATGAATATAGAGCTGAGACTGACAGCGGGCTCTACCTGCAAGAAGCAGGAAAACACCGAGGGCTTCTGGTAAATACCTTTTCCCCCCCCCCCAGCAGATCGAGGAAATCAAAACCGCGGGCAACGCGAGGGAACTTGGCGTCCGCCTGCCTGGAGCTTTACGGATGCGAGGAGCAGCACAAGATACGGCGACGGACGGGAAAGACAGTGAGGGGCCTCGGATTGTGACAAGATCCAGCGAGCAGCAACCATCGCAGAAGAGGAGGACCATAAGAGGGGGCGAATCTACCTTAAATGTTTTCCTGGAGTAAAAAAATAACATCAGAGACGTAGATACGACATCATATTTGTGAATGTAGAAAAATATAGGCAGATTTAGCAACTGTCAAAATAATTCCCTGGAGGTAATTTTACTGTTGGTAATTATTTTCGTCCCCCCCTCTCTCGGTCTTTCTCTCCCGTCTCTGTGGAGGAAGACGCTTTGGAAGGAAATGATCAGAAACATACGCCGATCCAACTGGAGCTGTTTATTTTAGTCGGACAGCCGCCTACAAATAACCCCAGTCCGCCTGACGGGCGATCTAAAGCTTCTCCACGGCGATCGTCGGGTTTCTGTCGCGGTTCCGCGATATCTGAGCGGGATCCTTCGCGATCCTTTTTAATGGATCCATGTTAGCCGGACTGTAAAACAGATATCACCGCCGATCCGAGTACACACCGTCTGCTTTACCGCTGGAAGGATATGTAATAAAAAATATACGAGTAACCGAGCCCGAAAAGGCATCCCGGGTGTCGTCATCAGCACCGTCCTAGCGCCCTTTCTTACCGACCGATTTGTTGGAAATAATGTGCACATCACAGTAAAGAAACAGTGTATAAACAAAAATCGCCATCAAGTATTTCGTAGGCCACCTTATTCAACAGTCGGTATGTGTGAAAAATCGCTTTCGGGGTGTTAATTCCGCGGACCAGGCGAAGACGAGGAGCTATTTATTTATTTATTTATTCGCCATTTATTTATTTTATTATCATTTTCCCAAAAAAAATTTCCCCCCTCCCCTGAACCGATTTTTCTTTTGGGGAGGGGAAGATGGGCTGTTTGGGAAATAAGACCGAAGACCAGAGGAATGAGGAGAAGGCGCAGAGAGAAGCCAACAAAAAGATAGAGAAGCAGCTTCAGAAAGACAAGCAGATATACCGAGCGACGCACAGGTTATTACTGCTCGGTAAGTTTCTGACAGGCTGCTGTCTTGCCGTATAAATGTTACTATCTTGGTTTTATATACCTGTCTGGCAATGTTCAGGCGCGCGCTGATGCGGTATTTATATTTCTGTGGAGATATTTAGCCATATTTTTTATGGCTGCTTCTAGTTATAGTTGCAAGATGGTGCGTGATCTCCACTATCTTATAGTCAATTATTTCTAACATGTATGATTTTGGGCGAAAAAACAAAACGCAATTAGCATTCCAGGATGTTTCTTCGCTTAGCTGTGATCCTAATATAATCCTTATGCATATAGGTTGGTTATTGAATTAATCACTCAATATCAACGGTTAATTTGGAAGGCAGAGTGGCTTCCTAAGTTTTTTGTTTGTTTTGTTTTTGTTTATACTGCTTAGAAATCATTCCATAACATTGGTGACCCACATTTATTTAGGATTATGTTCTTAAATTACGTCCAATCGAGAAGCATGGTCTCTTTTTTTTTTAGAATAAACCTGTCTTTATGTATTTTTATATATAGATCTAAATATCTATGTGGTCGTTCAACTACTACGTATGCTATCCACAATTCTTAACAGGCGTAGTAGAATGATCAGGAAGAGCTTCTTGTTAGTAGAGCTTACCTTGGTGCATCAGTGCTGCTGCAGGCCTCTCAGTTCTGATCTTTATACATTTCTGATGACATGCCGGCGGTGGAGTTTGCTCTGAGTTTATGTAGTGAAGGCCTGAAGACAACACCACTATCCTGCATCTGGATGTGAAGAATACTCATACGTTCTGGTTCAATAAATGATTAAGAGGGGGAGGTATGGAAATAGCAGCATAAGCTTATAAAACGAACCGAGGCTACAGAGAAGGGTGTCCTGGACAAACTCGGCACCATTCCCCCCCCCCCATTTCCTCTTTTGATAAATCTTATTGTTGAGGCCGGTGCACAGAGCTTTTGTTGATACAGGTGGATTTGCTGGGGCAGCAGGTTGTTGTGTGCAGAAAGGGCTTCCAGTGGGGTCTGTGCAGTCATAAAGTGATCCGCTACAGTAAAGCGTAGAGTATAAATTTCATACTTTATTAATCGCTTTGGATAAAAGCGTTTGATGGGACACCACCTTGCCACTGTTCTACAAAGTGAAAGTACAACGATTATTGTTGGATATGATACAAATCCCAACATTTGTAATGCAGGTGAAGTATTAATGAATGGTTATATTCTGAGGTTGAAGCTTACTTTAATATTTACACTCTTGCTCCACTCCCATATATATTAATAAACATATGTATTAATTATACACTCACACCCAGTACCAACAGAAATTCCGTTAAGCAGTCTGTTCATCTGTTTGTTCTGATTGTAAGTTTGGGTATTTTATCACCGCAGCATTGCTGTTCAGCTAGTTTGGCTCTTTGCTATAGACTAATACTTAGTTCAACTGGCTCGCACTGTTTAAGTGGTCAATGGTTCAGGTACACCTTATCAAATCCATTGTATCCAAGAAACAATGTAAGGCCTAAAGCTTTCTGAGACCTTTTTTATGCAAAAATTGATAAAGCTGAGACAGTAGTATATAGGTGTAAAAGAAAAGCACTGCAAATACTGCATAAACACTGTGCATTAGTTTCAACAGCCAGTTCTTGGTTTCCACAGCTCAGACTAAGTAAATAAATCCAATTGACCTTTTTTATTTTTTAGAGAAACAGTAACACATTGTGTCAATGGGCCAAATATAAACTTTTTCCATTAAGGCAATTTTCTGTTTATTGATTGAAAGTAGTATTTTTAAAGATATCGTAGTGGGTTATAGTTTTTGGGTGACCTCCTAATTTATTTTTATGTCAAATAATAAAAATGTAGTTGTCTTTGTAGTGTTGTTACATTTTATAGCATTTAAACATTTATTATTATTCAAATGGGAACAAAAATTCAACTATGCCTGTTACCTTCCCAGAAGCGGATCTATGTTCCATCATTTCCTTTTGGTGTTAGTGGTTGTCATTGCTTAGAAGTTTATTCTATAGGTCTGTACAGAAAGACAGGTGGTGACACCCATTTCCTGAATTTTGTTTGATTGTTGTTTGCTCAGCAATTAGTTGGATTTTTTGGCATATTTGGTGTCTATTAAAACCCAGTTACCGGTAAACGTGATGCCTATTAAAAACGATAATGCCCCATTTTCCACACTTTTACGATGGTGGCAGTCTATAGGAAATATAATTTTGTTTTAAATAATAAGTTCTGTTTTCATGTGTTGCTTTGCATTTGACTCGGCAATCGGAAGTTTTGTGCAGTTATCAGTTGAAAGTTCGTTGCTTCCCTGTTTTGTACCAGTGATTTACGAGGAAAGAGGATTTAGAGATCAGAAAGAATTAGTGGGCATAATATTTTTATTAAAGCTGATACCATGTTATCTACCCTGGCTGAGTAAAAAACCTGGTAGTCATGCTAGTCAGAATTACATATTAGGTGTAACTGTGTATGTAATGTAACTGCTTTTCTAGAGTGCTGTTGAATGGGCTATCTAGATATGGCAGAATACTTCTATGCATTTTGTATTTTTTATTCACTTAATTTTTTCTTTATAATTTTTTTTATTATTTAATTAGTAGTTCACATTTAATACCTCCTGTAAAGCCACTGAAAGAATGTTCCACAATGAGGGATTTTTCCCATTTTCCTCAAAAGGGGGTAATATTTCTGTCCAAGTTCAAGTGTTGCTTTAGAAATGGAGATTCTATTTATTGTCACTGGAATCAATGTAATTGTAGATGATGTCGTCCCCGTCCCCCCCTTTTCTTGTGCCTTTAGGAGCTGGAGAGTCTGGGAAGAGCACCATAGTTAAGCAGATGCGGATACTGCATGTGAACGGCTTCAATGCAGAGTAAGCTTTATTTCTACTGATATGGCCGAAGTCATATGGTCAGACTAATCTCTACTGCACTTCAGGTGACTGACAGAAACCCGTGCGGCTGACAGGATTGTGTAAAAGCCATATTTACATACAGAAGTGAATAGTGGCATCATGTTTAAAGTGTTATGCATTATTTTATTTTATGTAAAATGTATTTTTCACCAAAATGTTCTGTAAGATTTATTTTATTGGCAAAGATATTCTTTTGGCATGAAGCATTCTGTAGATTTTTTTTTTTCCTTCAGCTGATGTCTGATTGAGGGGGGGGGTTCTTAGGGCCCTGTAGCTGTGTTGGGGGCAGATGTGCCCTCTGTGACTGCCCTCTGTGACTGCCCTCTGTGACTGCCCTCTGTGACTGCCCTCTGTGACTGCCCTCTGTGACTGCCCTCTGTGACTGCCCTCTGTGATGTTCCATTACTAGCCTCAATTCAGTGCTTGTCTGACCCTCCTCAAAATGATTCTGTTATCAGTTTAACACCTCCAGCAGAAATGCATATTTTGGGAATATTACTGGTTTTTAATTCATTTTTGCTTAAATTTCCAACTAGTATGTTTATAAACCAGCTGACAAATCTTGCATCATTAATCTTTTCATTAGAGAGCTCCTAAAACAGTCTGGCCTAAATCTGAATAATCTGTCAGTAGGTATCAGTCCTGTGAAAAATTCAGCAGGTACCCTAACCCTGTGGAAATCTATCACAAGACACAAATCTACATTTTCTATATAGCAGTTCATGTTTAATTTGCTTATCCTGTGTTACCAGTTATTTGTGGTCAGTGTGATTATGATAAAGTTTTGTTTATGTCAGTTATGTCTGTTTTTCTTTATAGAGAGAAGAAGCAGAAAATTCAGGATATAAAAAACAACATAAAAGAAGCTATAGAGGTAAGCTGGTATATGCTGTTAGACTTATGTGTGGAAAGATAACACGTATCATAGGTTGACAATGACACCTCAGTTTAACAATGGCAGCCGGCCTTTGGAATCGTATAAACCGTGACATTGTGCTCTCTCCCCCCAGACTATTGTGGCAGCCATGGGCACACTGGTACCACCAGTTCAACTCGCCTGTCCGGAGAACCAGTTCCGAATCCAATACATTCTCAACATAGCCTGTCAAAAGGACTTTGAGTTTCCACCGGTAAGTGTGAGGCGTGCACGTTGGCAGTGACAGGTGCTGGCTCCTGAATTTCCTGGAACCAAATTTTGAGATCATGCCTGAACCGCTCATTACTTGAAAATCTCGCCGGGTTCTCTCGAGGAGGATGGGCTCTGACTTGTTTCTGCTGTGATCTTATCGCCCAGAATGTTTGATAGAGATGTTTGGTTGGTCAAGGGAGTGATGCTTAATTGAGGGCTGCTGGGATCAGAAGTACTACTGTGTAAAGCATTTACTTCATACAGTTGCTCAGCCAGATGAGTGGAAGGGGGAGTGATAGAGGCATCTGGAGCAGCGGGTGCTGTAATGGTCGGCTTGTTAGGTGGGAGGTCCAGACTTTGGAGGGAGGTTGGTGGTTGCTAAAGTTCAGGCTTCTGCGAGCTGAAGCCGGGCCTAAACTTGAGGTTTTGCCATGATTGTCCTCTTTGATGAACTTTGGTGTTCCCGTTTCTATGTCCTAATGACATTTATCGGCCTTTAAGTGAATAATGGAATATATTTGTATTATTCGATATGAATAAGGAATTCATATTTTATGTTAATGAAATATGCAGCTTTGTATTGTTCAGGTGTATTAGGGTAATATGCATGAGCACAGTTTTCCACTGTTTCCTGAGGCTTTATAGCTGCAGTGTGTGATGTGTCTTTCCGCAAACTGCCTCGATATGATTCTCTCTGTGTGACTCTCTCACGGACCTCTCTGTAGTAAGCTGAAATCGACAAAGCTTGCTTACTTGAATGCATTCTTGTTGTAAGTTCATATAAAGTCATGAACTGTGATATTTAGAGTAAGTCTTGTACATTTACTTAGCAAGAGCTTGAAGACCAAACCCCCCCCCCCCCCCCCATCAATGAAATGCTTACAGAATCGGCCTCCGTGTTATGAAAGAAATTGGCATGATGTGGATCCTAAGAGGACTGGAAATTGCGGGCATTCAGATACGTAAGCCTCCCCCCTCTCTTCTGTACACTGCTGGTTGTAGCCCCCCAGCAGTACAAATTGTATGTTGGTCACGTGCTTTTATTTGCATTGTAGTGTCCTGTTCAAAAAGTCGAAATTTATAACCCTGTTGCAGCTCCCCAATACCGTGTAACACACAAGTTTTCTGCAGGATTATATGATTAAAGGAGTGAAATATAAGCATAGGCAAAGAATGCATTTGTCTTTGGTAGTTTGTGCCTCCCTGGTGCAGACAATAGCTGGAAGATTGCCGTTTGAGACCAGAACTTGTGTGGGCTGTGGGACAGCAATTAGCAGGTATACTACCCTGGGGACGTCTAACTGAATGAACCCGAGAGGTGTGTGTGTGTCTGTGTGTGTGTCTGTATATCTGTGTGTGCGTGTGTCTCATTTCAGCTCATTACTTGTTAGCGGTGATTTTGGTTAATAAGCCAAAAAGGTCCCAGTGGGCTGAGCTTGTCTCACTGTAGCACGGTGATTCCCTCTGCCCCAGAGTCTCATCTTCCGCTTTGCAACATGAGTGCTGCTCCCAGACTAAGGCAGGAGAAGAGTGCTTGCTGGATTGAGGGGGAGATGAATCCATGCGGTGTGCTTAGGCTTGTGGCACGTCATTGGTAAAGGATTTTGGATTTTTGGCAGTGAGACTTTGCTTTTAGTCCTGTTTCCTGATGGTTTCCTGATTGTGCAGAGTCCTGTTTTGGGTTTTTAGTGGATATCAGAGTAATGTTGTGTAGGACTACTGCATGACTTCTCGCTCTTCTAACACAATTCTGATTATGTCATGAGTTCTTTAAGTAAATGGGGATATATATACACACACACACACACACACACACAGTCCATCCACTTATTTTATGACAATGTTTGAAACACCTGGAATCTTTTTATTTCAGAAATTTATTTTGTTGTTGTGTTGTGCTTGTAACCCTTTTTTTTTATTAATACATGACTACTCAACCTTTCTTCTTTACGGATTTAGTCATTTATACCACACTGTGCTTTTTTGTAATTATTTCAGTATTCATGCTTTGTTTCTGGGCTTGTGCATCATAGTACAGCTTAGTATAATTATCACGTGGGCTACTCTACCTTTTCTCTGAATCACTGACTCATGGGAGATGGGATTAGAAACAGGGAATAGATACTGGCAATCCCATCTTTTACGAAAAATTACATAGACCTGTATAGGAATTTTATATACAGAAGTCAGTCAGATCAGTAGGTAATAAGATGTAAAGCAGAAGTTGGCATTAAAATGGGAAGAATCCAGAATGTTAATACAGTGATCCCCGCCTATTGCGGACGTTACATGCCAGACCCATCAGCGATAGGTGAAAATCCGCGATATAGAAAGACCATATATATATATATATATATATATATATATATATAGCTTAAGCCTTAAAATATCCCTCCCGCACGTTTAAAAAGCAATATGTGGAAATCCGCAATATAGAATGACCATATTAATAAACATTTTTTTATAGTTTAAGCCTTAAAATACCCCTCCCACATGCTTTAAACACATGTAAACTTATTTAAAAACACTTTGTAAACAAATGACATGTGGATGTCGGGCTAAGGATATGAGTAACATAATAATAGTATATATATATATGTGTGTGTGTGTGTGTGTGTGTGTGTGTGTATATATACACATCGCAGAGAACTGTGATGCGTCGGGGAAAAATCCGCGATATAGCGGGGGCGCGATACCTGAACCGCGATATAGCGGGGAATCACTGTATTACTCTTTATCAGCCTTGTACAGAAATGTACTCTGGTAGCCAAGGGATAACCTTTTCAATGAATGTGTAAGATTCTTATGGTATATAAAAAAAATTACAGCATATGGAAATTTGTGTAGATGCTTTGTGTTGTATAGTAGAAAAACATAAATACAACTGATTAATATGTAATGGTGGAGGTATGCCGGTTCACTGTTCATTGCACATGTAAAACTGCCAATATGTGATAGATGGCCCAGTAGCTACACCTAGTGGCAAGGCATCAGCAGTGCAACTAGACATATTGTTTTATTCAACTTGGTTATTGCATACACTGGCAGGTATAGCAGATACAAGTTGCATTGTATAATTCATCACTATCAAGCTTTTATAAACATGTAAAGTGTGTGTATGTGTGTGTGTGTGTGTATGTATGTGTATATAAAACAAAGAATTAATCATCACTAGTTCATTTGGTAAGTGTTGATGACTTGCTGCTTCATTGTGTGTCTGCTCAGAACAGGCAAAAATAAACCAATACAGAGCAGAATGCCACATTTCATTCTCCTAGTTTTTCTGAATGGTCTTTATGAAGTACAGGACCATCCCATCCATGTCTGTGTGAACATGCTGTCCTTTTTCCTTCTTGTCTCTCTGCTGCTCCACAAATTTTATAAATGATTATTTTATATTTAATTGTATTCTGTTTTTATTGTTTCATATCTTTAACAATGATATCAATGATTTTAAAAGCTACATTGGCTGCATCGGATTTTAGGTCACTGTCAAAAGGACTGATCAGAACGTTACTAAAAGTTACTAAAATTAACTTGGGGTGCGAATTTTCCGGGGAAGGCAGGAAGATTAAAGGGCTCAGTAAAATATTTTGTCGTTACTTAACACAAGTTAAAATAAATACTCATCACTAAAGTCATAACTGTGATTTATTCTCATCCTTGACATTCTGAAGTTCAACACTTGAGTTGGGTCCCTTAGACTATACTATACTGTACAGTACCATTCAAGTGTTTACTGAATTTTCTGGGCACCAGCCTAACCATAATTTATTATTATTTTTATTATTTTTTTGTTCTCTTCATTCCATTTTGTTTTGAGCTGAAGGCGTACGCACAGTTGAATGATCTGTGAGCAGTGCTTTACAGCCTTGTGCAGCATTCCTCTCATGATTTCCTCAGGGGAAACACACACCTGTTCCACTAAGAAGCTAAACTTGTGCTGTATTGAGGAGTCAATGGCTGAGTCAGTGATTGGGAAGTTAATGACTGCGTTGCAGTGCGGCACTCGTACTTCATAAGGGTTCCGTTATGTGACGCTCGCCTGTCAGACTTTGTACACCTTTTCTACAGAACATAATGTTTTAAACTCGAATTACATTCTCTTGTTAGTGCTTTGCATTGCTTCCTTTTGGACTGGTGTGGTTTTTAAATTTGTGAATTAGTGGTCCATCGATGATTATGTAATGTGTATTTGTATTGTTCAGTCACTTCATCCCCACATTTGGCTGTACGGGTGTCTGATCTGCCACAGTGTGACCAGATACCATCCTGGACTGATAGTATGATGTTTCCTGCTGAAAAACCACAGAAGTGCCTTCAGGTCTGAAGGGAATTCTAACAGAGTCTGCAGGTTGTTATCTTTGTCTCTCCCTTAAGGAGTTCTATGAACACGCCAAATCGCTGTGGCAGGATGAGGGGATCAGGGCGTGCTTCGAGAGGTCCAACGAATACCAGCTCATTGACTGCGCGCAGTAGTAAGTACATGTGGATATAGTGGCTGCTTGTGTGCATGGTGTGATCAAGGCACTCAGATGTTCATGTAGACGCCACAGAAAGCCGACGTGGGGCCATTTATATTCCCCCCCCCCACCCCGGTCGGGAGTTCGGAAATACTGTGTAATGTCTTTTCTTGTATTCTTGAACTCATCAGTGTATCGGTGAAGAGGAGTAAGGAATGTTCCTCTTGCTGTACTGTGTTTATTCCATTTTGGTTTGTGTTTACAATTTGTTTGCTCATTGTCAAGGTCCTCTGTCCTCCCCCCCCCCCNCCCCCCCCTGTCTTCCCTCCCCCTACCTTGCCCCTACACCAATCACACAAGATTTGTGGCCAGTGGTCTATTTATAGGGCCTCTGGCTCTGTCACTATGGCAACCAAGCTGGAGGCCAGGGAGCTATTTTTGAAGTTGTTCTGTAATGTCAGACGGTGCTCTCCCTCTCTAAAAGCAGTCTCTCTTCCCATCTCTCTATATTTGTGTATGTTAAAAAAAGTTTATATTAATAGGTACAGGTTAGACTATATAAATATCCATGGATTCATAGAAAATATTTAAATTGGCTGTTGTGTAAATGGCTATATATACATTGTTGGTGTTTAAAATTTATTTTTATGTGTCTCAGATTTACATATCAAGATCTGTGTGTCTCATAGAAAAAGAAATGGGGACGTCAACAAAAACGTCCAAATATACTATCTCCTGCTCCTTTCTCACATGGGGGACTTTATCAGTCAGTAAAAACTACAAATCCCTTGTAACAGATTGTTTGTGTAGTCCTGCAGGGATGACTACTTGGATTGTTATCAGTTTATCAGTTTACTGTGGCAAATATTGTTACTTTTGGTTCTGGCACCTGTTTGAGCTTCGGCGGGTAAAGAATCAAGTACTGTACTCATCTAAGGACACTTGGGAAAGATTTTCAGCCCGACTGGATTTCGGTATCTTGAGATTAAGCAGGATCTGCAAGGAGTTTCTCAACTTTACTGTCTTTACAATGCCAGAGTTATTCTGAGAGATTTATTTGTAGAATAGGAAACACTGATATTCTGCTATTCCGGGCTGTTTTGACTTGTTCTGGCCCAGCCAAAGAGTGAGTAGTTTGTTATAAAGAGAGGGGTATGATTATTATTATCAAGCTGAAAGTATGCTGCACTCAGTGTTGCTTTTGTTTTAGTCTAGAAAATTAGAAACTGCCTCATTTAATTCCTTTCATGACTAGAAAAGTTTTAAAAACTTTATGTAGCGGCAGAGATGTGTAAAAGGCTGCTGCCTTACACTTTGTCGTGTTTGTTAAAGCTGTGAGCTGGCACTGAATAAAAGACTTCATTGATGTTTTGCATTTGTAATGTCCAGTTCAGTGGTGATGGCCCTTTGGAATGTGGGCTTCTACCAGTTAATTACTCTGATGGGACTTTGGAAAGCGCTAATCAGTCTGTAGAAAACACTGTAGCCTTCTGCTATTAGCCACTCTACCGCAATTCTTGTAGGTCGGACAGGGTAGATGGGTCTTCCATAAGATGCCTCCTTCATGCCGGTATGACAGCTTAGGTTGTTGTCCGAGCTAAATGATAACTGGCTATTTCCATAAGCACCATTCCTTAGTTGGGGAAAAGATAGCTGCACCTCCTACTGGTTGTCAGGAGCAGTACAAATTAGTTGGGATATCCTTGCCCCTATTTTTTATAGTATCACTAGTAAGTAAGTAGTAAGAATTTTTTTTGGTTACTTCAGTATTGTTAGCCTGAAAGGCAACAAAGAACTATTTCTTGACGATTTGTTGCTGTTGAACTATCCACCCATTTGTCAAGCCATCTTCCAATCTCTTATTCAATTCATGGTGGCGGAGAGTGGCTGTAGAAGCTTGTCCCAGGGAACATAGGACCCAAGGCTGAGATGCACCCTGGGTGGGTGCCATTGCACCCACAATATGCGTAATTTAGAGATGTCTGTTCAACTACATGCATGTATTTCGGCTGTATTCAGTGGAAACCAATGCAACAGGGAGAACATGCACATGCGCGCACACAGCGGTTTGGGGGTTCACACCCCTGGCCATGGAGGATTGAGGAAGTAGGGTGGTTTCATTGTTTTTGGATACTATGGATAAAAGGCATTTAATAGAAGAAAATGCATAATCGACTCAATTTAGTTGAACTGGCTAAAGTAAAATCAGGCTAACTTCCCTGGTCCTACATTAGCTGCCAGGCTAACATTGCATTTTGTTCCTTTCTTTGTTCCAGCTTTTTAGAGAAGATTGACATTGTAAAGCAGAGCGACTATACTCCCACAGATCAGGTGAAGTTCTGTTTTTCATCTTTGACTTCGACTGTGGAAGCTGGGCAATGGGTCAGGGCTGTAACGATAAATGCTTTAAAAAAAAATTATAGATAATGCAGTACAAATTTTAATTGCATAAGTTTTTGTGAAAAAGATGTATGTCTGTTTTAAATTGTCTTGTGTTAAACATTATTGGATCCAGCCAGTATGGCAGAAGTTCAAAGATCCTACTTTAACCGCCATTATCCCCCAGATGGAGAAGTTTCAGGATAACGTGACTGGTTTGTTTCAGGACCTGCTGCGATGTCGAGTGCTCACCTCTGGGATTTTCGAGACGAGGTTCCAGGTGGATAAGGTTAATTTCCAGTAAGTTGAACAGGGAACCGGTTCGGTGCCTGGTGTTCTTTTATAATGGTGCTGGCTGATTCTGTTCCTCTCTACCTATTTTCCCTACAGTATGTTTGATGTGGGGGGACAGAGAGATGAACGACGCAAGTGGATCCAGTGTTTCAATGGTAGAATCTATTGTCTAATACCATTTGTAAGCAAGGTTATAAGCAACAGAAACATTGGCGGCCATATTTGGTAATTGGTAATGGGTGGATGGGCAGTGGTGGCTTGATGGTTAGGGTAGCGCACTTGTAATTGAAAGATTGCAGGTTCGAATCCCCCACCAGCAAGTCACCACTGAGGTACCCTGAGCAAGGTACCGTCCCCAAGCACTGCTCCCCGGGCGCTGAATTAGCCGCCCCCTGCTATGTCACGAAAGTCACATATGGGTCAAAAGCAGAGAACACATTTCGTTGTTGCGCACTGTGTGCTGTGGTGTGTTGACAATGACCACTGATCACTAAATTCTAATTCTAATGTCTTGGTGCTGAGGGCACAGTAAGCTGTAGGAGATGCCTTCAGTTTGTTATAGGCCACCTGTGTCGTCTTATAGTTGTTCTGGTCCTGACTTCATCAGTGATTCAAGGACTTTCACCCTTCCTGGAGTCACTTCTTATGTCTTTGAATGGCTCTCTCCTTTCAGATGTGACGGCCATTATTTTTGTTGTGGCCAGCAGTAGCTACAACATGGTTATCCGGGAGGACAATCAGACCAACCGCTTACAGGAGGCTCTCAACCTGTTCAAGAATATCTGGAACAACAGGTAGCCCAGAAACGTTGGGGCACACCCAGAAATGCACGCCCACAAATGCTCACTCGCACAGAGATGCAGAATTACCTGCAGAAGCATGCAGGGCTGTGCAGACACACAAAACGCAGGCACAAAAGCGCACACATCAACCCTTTATTCCCGGCATTAAAGCTTTGCCTTTATTCATTTTTTTCTAGGTGGCTACGGACCATTTCTGTCATACTGTTCCTCAACAAACAGGACCTGCTGGCTGAGAAAGTTTTGGCTGGGAAATCCAAAATCGACGAATACTTCCCAGAATTTGCGCGCTACACCATACCTGATGATGGTGACAGTCCCATCTCATTTATTCAAAACAAACAAGCATCTGACATGGCAGCGTATCTTCATCTGCTTTATGATGGCTACACATCTTATAAACCACAATGAAGCTTTTAGATGTTGGTCAGGCCTCAAAAGGCAGAAGGCTTTTATTTATCTCCCGGATAAGAAACGTTTTATTATCCTGTTCTGTTTTGGGAGCTTCCCCTAGTCAAATTATGGCAACCCAGTGCTTCAACACTGATTTTATGGAAATGTACAAATCTGAATTGCTACATGTTGGGTTTGACTGCGTTTAAGATCTTGAGAAGTGATCATATTGGAGGGTAGAATGACTGGTTTAGAGGTGTCTTGTTTATGTGCCTGGCACCGTGTAACATGTGTTTGTCCCCGTTTCCCACAAAGCAACGCCGGAACCCGGAGAAGACCCACAGGTCACCAGAGCAAAGTATTTCATTCGAGATGAGTTCCTGGTAAGTTCCTCGGAGGCTCTGTGATGTGCACAGAGTGGCGCCGAATCACTAGCTAGATGTCCACTTGAGACGAATACGACGGTAACTGACCCACTGGTGCCGATGTCTCTCAGAGGGTCAGCACAGCCAGCGGAGACGGGAGACATTACTGCTACCCGCACTTCACCTGCGCCGTGGACACGGAGAACATCCGCCGCGTCTTCAACGACTGCCGGGACATCATCCAGCGGATGCACCTGCGGCAGTACGAGCTCTTGTGATGGACAGAGGTGGACAGACGCCAGAGCCCAGCCCCTAAACTGATTCCGCCCTTCCGCCAACCCCCCCCCCCCCCCCCCCCCCCCCCAATCCCTTGCTGTCCACTCTGGTTTGGTGTTTCTGTGAGGACATCTTCTCTCTGCGTTTAAGGAAGAAACATGCCACGCAGGACTGAAAGACCCTCCAGAGGTAGCGTTGACCACAAGAAGAGGAGAGGCTGCTGAAACTCCTTGCACTTTAGTTCTGCGCTCAGAATGGTCCTCCATCTGACAGGGACGAGCAGTGTGCCCGCGTTCTCCACCCCAGCCATCACGCGCTCACCGCCTTTGCCGCCTCCATCTTCCTTTTTGCCTTCATTCCGCACAGACGACGCCAACTCCCAGTTTTGACCCCCTTGTCACTCAGTGACTGGCATCCCCTACGTTAGCTCCTAGCGTGCGGTGGGCACGCTCGATCTGTTAGGCCGCGGCCCCAGGGGAGCCCGGTGACTGCAGCTCCCGCAGACCTTCCAGAAGAGCCAGGCCAACGTGCTGCTTCGGTTAAGGGCGCCCAAGGCTGGCCTGCTGCCCCACGCAAGGAAGGAGGACATTAAACCAATAAAAGAAGCAGTAGATTGTAAAGCACAGTTTGCCTCAGGATGGCCGTTTGGTGTGGAAGTGCATGTCGTATGAACACATGACCTCTCATTGACCTTTCCAAGAGTCGCCGTATAATGCAGAGTGGGCCGAAAGCGGGCACAGAATATCACACGTGGAGAACACGTGTGTGTGCGCGCGTGCATGTATGTTCACAGGCGTGCGTACAGACGCGCACACGTGGAAGCAGTGACACCGATGGACTCTCTTCATCCCCCCAGTTGTGTGCTCGTGTTGAATGTCTGTGTGATGCTGTTGTGCTCTTGATCCATCATTCCTGGCCCTTTGCCCTTGTATTTTTATGTGTTTTGAGGGAAGCTTCATTAACAAATAATGGTAATAATGAAATACAGAAGAGGAGAGCCAGAAAAGAACTTTAAAACTTTATATATAGAAACCCATTGCCAACCCCCACCCTTCTCCTGTTGACCTAGGCAGGCATTATTATTATTATTATTATTATTATTATTATATATATATATTTTTTTTTTACTGCTGGACTACTGCTCTTGTACAGACTGTAAAATGTATTATTTTGTACAACTTTATTGAAACAAAAAAATACTTGTAGAAGATCCCTGTGCCTTGATCACAATTGTATGTATATAATGAGCTAAGATGTAAGGAATGTTTCACTGCGCTGTACAGCCTGCCCCCCCCCCTCGCCGCTGTGTTCTCCCCCTATTCAGGGGGAGGTGGTGATGTGTATTTTGTGGGGCAGGATGGATGGGGGGGGGTGCTGTTCATAGTTTAAAAAAAAAAAAAAAAAAAATCCCCATTTTTTTGCTTTTCTGATTTATATATAGCTGTGTGCTTGTTTGTGTGTGTGAGGGTGTGTGTTTGTCTGCAGGGTTCATGCAGGTCCTCAAAGTCTTTGGAAGTCTTTGAAATATGGGACAGCAGTGGCGGTGATACAGTTAACAGCCCGTGGCAAGGGGCCGCCCACCTGGGGCCCCGAGGAGGGCCACACTCCGTGACCGGAAGGCCCTGTTACACCTTACTGTCCGTCTTCAGTTTATCAGCGTTTATAGTGTTGGTCACGTATGTTGATGCTGGCCGAAAGGCCGCCATGTGTCTGGATGGGCAGCAGGTTTCCTTACCCAAAATGTTTCATTTTTATGAAGCAGATGAGATATTAAGATCTGGTGAGTTGATAGAAGAACACAGACAGTCTAACACATTCTTTATTGTAATTAGTGTGGTATAGCAAGTGCATTTTAAGGTTTTATTTTCCATTTTTTTTATTACAGAAACCATATGCAATATTTCTGTCTGCTGAGTGAGCTGCCCTGAAATTGGAAGCTATAATGTTGTTTCATTTTTTTGTTTAAATCTCCCTACTGATGTGTAACAGGACAGTTTTATCTCCCGTTCCACATGTAGGTGCTGGGGGATTTTCGGGCCCCCTGGCGTAACATGAACAGCGCACTCATCATGTTTTTCAGCTTCTCTGTTGTTAGATACCCAAAGTCAGTGTTAATGAATTAAAATCTCCCTGACCAGAACACCAGACCATTAGACCACAGAAGCAGGATGAGGCTGTGAAGTCTGTCACACACAGGTAGCGTAACCAACACAGCGTGAATTTCAGTTGGTATAGGCCCATGTGGGTCCTCAGATGACACTGTGAGAAGCTTGCAGCACTTAATGTTTTCTTCTGTTCCATTCTGGCTTAATGGAGGTACCTGCTGTTATGGACACCTTAGTGATGATGCAAGAGTGAAACCTTATGGAACCTTATTACTGTGCTGCTCAAACCACCCTTTGATAAAATACACCCTGTGGTTTGGAATGGTGTCATTTTTGGGAACCATCCTCCCATCAAGAAATGAAAATGCATAGTGGGATGTAGTTGCTATGATTGCATGCAGCCTTAACACAACTGTTGGTTCAGTATCATTCAGTCACAGTACCAAACTCTGTAGGACTTCTTTCAGTCCCTTTTGTGTTGATACAGGATGTCCCTTGCCCATGCTGTATACTCTACACAGTTTATCCACTGTTGTTTGCTTTGCTGTGAGACTTTTTCACGGTTTTGGAGTTTCCACTTTCTAATAATTGTAAATGTTTTTGTTGGTCTGCTCTGCTGTCACTTGGAGACCGTTTCTTGTGACACCTTGCACCAACAGCTGCAGTTCTTTTAACTCAAAGCCAATAATGTCATCTTTTTTAGCCATTATTCTTTGCTCCAGTGGCACTAAGCATTCTGCATGCATGTACAAGCCAACTGGATTACTGAGAAGAAATGTGCCCATCTCACTTCTGATTAGTGTGGCTTCATACCATACCATGAATATCTTACATTACATGGGCTGTTTCTTGTCTGTTACCCAAATAGTACTTTTCCCATGGATTTTTTATTTTCTTTTTTAAAAAAAAAAAAAAAAAAAAAAGCTTGGTTTTTAAATGACAGTCATGTTACCATATAAGAACATTTGCCATACAACATATTTGTCATAATTCAAATGATGCTATGGTGAAGCCATTTGGACAGAGGTTGGGAGGATTAAGTATTAATGACACAAGCTCTTGAAAATGTCCTGGAAAGTGCTTGAATTTCATGTACCAAAGTCTGTATGAACCCTGTATGTTTGTATATATGTTTACTTGCGATGTTTGTTTTAATCCATTTACATTGTATATATATAATGTACATGGTTTAAAAGGTGTGTCTATATGTATAGATATAGAGTGATAACTTAAATCCTTTCAGTAAGCACAGCTTGTTGATTTTTTTTTCCCACCTGCTAACAGATCATGGCGGCTGGGGATTGATCCTCAGTATTTGATTCATTTTTAACCTTAATTCCAAAACATTGCTTGTTTCTACATAAACCATTTTTGCTGATGAAAAAGAAAAAAGGAAAGTACTGTTTGGGTTGTTCTTAGCCTTGCATGACAGGGGTAGCTTGTGACTGCTGTGTCCCTCTGAAGCGCCACATGTTGAGGGAGCTGTTGATCCCACACTTCAGATCCATAACCCGTTTCTGCCACCTGCTGCAAGCCAGGAGAAATCCAAGGAAAGATTAAGATCATTGAAGAATGGTAGTTCGCAGACTCTCCCCAAGTTCTCTCACTTTGGCCATTGTATGTGGCTGCCATCCCATCATTAGACAGAGATCCAGGCTCCTGGTTTTGTTTGGCTCAGGGATCTTCAGATACTCTTGTATATCAAAAAGATCAAACTTCTTCAGATGGACCCTTAGCTATGATGGACCCAGCATACACAGAAACACCTTAACTGCTTCAGTTCACTACAGACCCGCTAAGGAAGCGAATGACAACCAGCAGTTGGCTAATTCCATGCAAACTAGCATCACCAGGGACCCTTTTAAAGCGCTTAAAGGCTTGACTGAATGCCCAAGGCTACAAATGCACAGCGGTGCCTTCTTTGGATGGGCAATGCCAAAGAAAAGGTCAAAACTTGGATGTTAAGTTATTAGAGAACACACCTGATTCGAACCACTTAGTCCTTGCACATTGCACATATCTGTTTTGGTATAGAACTTAAGTATTCCATGGAAAATGACATAACATGAACAACTGAAACACTTGTTGATAAAGCATCATTTCCAAAACAGCATGTACCAAAAACATAACTTGCATCTGTCCTTGGGCCTAGTCTAAGGACACATTGAGTGTGGCCATGTGGGAGTATTATTTGATCAATAGTAGCTAACTTGAGGAAATCAGCCTCCAGTTTTGTAGTTATTCTGGGTAAGGAGGACCACAGACTAAATGAAAGTGTAAGCCACTGGTTTGTACTTACCGGCAAGCTTTGACTAGTAACTGCGGGATTAAACGGCCGTGTGGTCTCAGACACAGACATCATCAGTCTGAATTCCCTATTTCACTGGAAAACCCATCTTTCCTGTGACTCAGAGACTGCTAAGTAACTGCCTCATCAATCTGTGAGTATAGAACATATGCTCTGGCACACACCACTGTTTTGTTTTGGTAGCACTTTAACACATTTTACAGTAATTTCTCCCAAGTACCACGTCAATACTTTGTGCAAGTGTCGTGTGACAGACCAAAGTCTGGCTCAGAGTCCAACCCTGAAGCAGGATCCTGGCAACACTGAACCAAAGCTGACCAAGAGGCCATTGAGCATGGATGCCTGAGCACAGCTTCCACAAAACTGTCAGAGTCCTGTACAACTAAGACTTGTCTCTGTTGTGGTAAATCCCAAAAATGGCCACACTGTTAAAGTCCCGGGCCAGGGTGTCAAACTCCAGTCCAGGAGCCCTGCATGTCGTTGGGTCTCATTTAACACACCTGATACAACTCCTTGCAACTCCTTGTGCTAATTACCACACAGCTCTTGAGCGGAATGATTTGTGGTGGACCTGGGAAAGAACTAAGCTAATTCCAGGACAGGAGTTTGACATCCCTGGTGTACGGGATGTTTGTTATCTGTATCATTACACAATAAGTGACAAAAAGTTATAAATGGTATAACAAGGTATATTTGCACACACTATGTAATAACATTCTCACAGCTCTGCAGTGTTTTACTTATTTTACTCATGCTAATTACTCATTACTCAAGCAGTTGAATCTGGGGGAAAAAATCCACCCGAAATAAGGCTGGATTTGATTGATACCGCTCCCTTTATTTACAAAGTAATTGCATGTAAGATGTTAAGATTGTTATAGACCCTCAAATTCCTGGGAGCGACCTGTTTGGAAATGCAAAGGAAACCTGATAGAAATGCTATTTATAGCCACGTATCATAATCTCTGGGCTTAACTGGATGACCTTGTAATTAAGTCAAAAATGGTAATTAAATATCACTCGAAACACCCTCACTGATATCACTTATGATTTTTTTTAAAATAGGTTATTTGTAGAAAAGCAGTTGACATTTGTTTAGCAGCATCAACGTCATAGTCATAAAACTTGTGTTGCCATGTAAAATCAAAAGAAATTACCCAAGTAATTAGTGCAATAAAACAAAAAACAATGTGAAATCCAGCATGCTTTGCATTGCAACACGCCATTCGTACGACTATCGGAAACTACATAAACGTGATTAGCAAACACAAAAAAACAAACAGCTCAGGGAGTAGCTAATATCTGGTTATGGGTTTAAATCCCACCTTTGCTCTGTATATGTGTTTGTTTGCATGTTCTACCTGGGTCACGTCAATTTTCTCCAATGAAATTAGGCTAATAAGCGTTTCCATTCACCTTTAAGTGTAAATGTGTGCATGTAGTTGCCCCATGATGGACTGGCAGCATCCAGGACGCCCTCTGCCCTGTGCTGCCTGGGAGACATTGCAGGACCCCTGGACTTAAACTAGGACAATCAACTCAGAGATGGATGTAAATTTTTGTGTAAAAATACCATTTTCCGTGTGTATCAATATCAGCCTTGGATTTCCTCCAATGATTCTCTTTTCCAACAATCTTTTGTACCTCCGAGGCTCAAAATGAACTTCTTTTATTTATGCTGACGTTGGGTGGCTTTTAAGTATTAAAAGTCTAAACACTCCAATAAGTATGCTTTTTAGTCAACAGACTAATTTATTATAATTATTACATTATTAGGCTTATTGGTTGATTTATGTACATACAAAATTGTTACCTGACTGCTTTTCTGACAATCTGAGTAGACAAGCCAGTGAGCAGACCTACCCCAAAAAAATCCCACCTTCTGAAAATTTCCTCTTTGAACTGATCCACCAAAGCATAGCTTCCATCTACAATATGCAACAATGTAAAAAGGGGGGAAAAAAACCCTAGATCACAAAATGGTCCCATTGAAACATTTTTTTTTGCAGATGAACACAAAAATAAGATACCAAGAATATATTACTTAACATAGATATTGTTTAAAATAAATGTGATTTATACACAGTGTATTCCATTGTTCATTATTACATTACAGCACTGCCCACTATGTTTAACTGGTAGGAATCAAGATCATTGTTGCTATTCCTACCCTTTGCACATAGCGACACGTCTTTATGAGATATGAATATCTGGTCCTTTGAAGCATCATTTATTGATATTCTTAAGAGGCAAACTTATTTTTAATAACTTCCAAAAAAAAGTCAAACTATTTTTTTCAACTCAGTTTCTGTACTTACTGCATATAACACTTCCAAGAACAAACAAACCCAGCTGGAGGTTAGCGGTTAGCTTCCCCTACATGGTTATGGAGTTTTCTTCAGATTGTAGGATCTAATCTGCCATGGTAATCCATGGCATGTTCTACTCTCCGAAGGCAAGAGCACTTCAAAGAAGTAATAAGTTGCTAGAATTTGGTGACAATGAAATGTGTGCAAACCAGAAATAAGAGTCAAGAAAATGCATCAAACCACTTAGTGTTCTGAGAAGGGGTAAAGGAGAGAGAGACTGATACACTTCATTGCAGTTTGTGGACTGAAATATGTATTCGGATGAATGTCTATGAGCACACCAGTCCCAGAAGGGGCAAGCATGCTGCAAAGCACGAAATGGTGCTCCAGTGTCATACTGATCCAATCAGACAGAACAACTGGTTTGCATGATCCTTTCATCAGCTCTGCCAAAGGCCTCTGAAAGATGTGTTTGAGTGGGTGGGGGTGGGGGGAGGGGGGTAACTTAAGGTGACTAACAGTCAGGAATGAGTTGCGGCCCCGACCAGTGAATCCACACAGACAGCATGCTGTTTAAAAACCGAAGATACAGCATTTACACTGTCCCATTTCAATGCTGCAGTCTGTCACATTACTAACTGGTTTTTAGAGAAGCCTGTTTGCTGTATAACAAACTTATAATAATGTTTATAATCTTTTCATTTGATTACTTTTTTTTTTTTTTACTATCCTCCCCATGAGATTTTTTTTCTGTGCAAATAGGGATGGATCTCAAAAAGGGTATAATTATTAAAAAGCAAGACCTGCCACTGTTTTTCTTATTTTATTATTATATATTAGTTTGCCTTCTTCTGTAACTTTAGATTATTTGACTATTCAACTCTATGCACATTATATGGCATTCTGATGAGAACCACGAGGACCGTTTTCTCGATTCCACCCACGATACCGTCGTTGTCGGCATCTACAGGAGCAGCTTGCCAATGATGACGCCGATGACGAAGAAGACCACGCACAAGGCAAGGGCTCTGGTGTTGGGCCCCTCCTCCTTCAGGGCAGAGCCCGGGGCAGATGGAGAGAAGGGGCTGGGGGCAGCGGACATCGACGTAGCCTTCCTCATACGAAGACCATCATCTTCCTGCATGGATAGGAAGCCCATTCTCATAAACGGCCAGCATGGTCCTCATTACTCAAAGCCTGGCTAAGTTCAGCTCACCTTGATCTGTTTGTTTTCCTCGCGTAGTCGCTGCACTTCCGTCTGCAGCCTTTTGCACTCCTCCATTATTTTCTTGTCCTCTCCATCATCCAGGGATGCAGACTTGGACAATGTGGAAGATTCGGATTTTAGCAGACTGGAGGACAGCACTTTGTTGGTGTCCATATCATGCTGTACGGAACAGTAAGATGGGAAAAAAAATCAAATCTCACACATGCACACAACCCACGAGTGTATATTTTGAGTTTTCTTGAAGAAAGTGACATGGCTTCTGTTTTTACGGGGACTATGGGAAGTGACATGGCTTCTGTTTTTACAGGGACTATGGGAAGTGACATGGAAATGCCCCACTGTCACGTCAATACAAAGAGCTTATTCATGCTGTGTTTAATAATATTGGATTAATAGAAATCACAGTTATACCGTTTTCTCATTCTCTGCAGGAAGCTCAAAGACACATTTAAGCTTGGAGTCCATCAGCTCTTCAGGCTTTGCGTCTTTCCACTGAAGAGAGAAGAGGAGGGTAAACGAGAGGGAGACAGGCCCACTCTGCGGAGAAGGTAAAGGGGCGTCAGGTAGCCTGACATGACTCACCACTCCCTCTATGTCTGTCATGTCAGCGGGAGCTACCATGGACTGCACCATGAACTTGTGTTTGCTTTTCTCGTTGGGGTCATAATCAAACGGCTGCAGCATAACTGAAACACAGAAAGGCAAAAGACGAACAGATGTCTTACATCTTACAGTCTTGAGGTCCTCCATCTCATGGAAGTAGCATATCACGCTCCAGTTTCTCTTTATGACTTGTTTTCATCATTTACGCATCAGATTGCTGCCCACGAGGGCCCTCGTGGCTGTAAATTAGGGTAATTTGTTACCAAACCACAGGTGTCATTTTTGTATCCCTTCAGTTGTTTTATTAATATTATGCTGAAGATGCTAACAAGAGGCCTAGCAATTGTTCATTGCACAGAAAAATGGAAATTGCACACTAATCACAGTGAACAAGACACCTGAAGTCACTGAGCACAAAAACAATACAACGGCAAATTCATGCTAAAGACAACAGCTGAACTCAACCCCATGAACTGGGACGCATAAGACATCAAGTTACCATTCTACATCCCTGCTGAAATTTAACTTGAAATAACACTAATGACAATGATGTAAAACCAAAGAAAAGTGATATCCAAATTAATTTATTCATAGTTTCCATCATTCTCCAGCTGAAAGGTTAAGGATGAATAGATGTATGTGAAAGATGATTACAACCCCAGCCTTTTTAATTAAATACAATAGCGCTACGGGACACAAATACTCAAACAGTGAGGTAATGTCTATAAATCGCTACTATAGCTCACAATGTGACACAGCTCCACTGAGGAAGACCAACATGGCTCCTTGCAACCAACTGTAAATTCACTGTAGCCTTGACAGCCTGATACTTGATCCAGGGCTGTAAGTGTATACCTACATAGAAAGTAACAGTCAGAGCTGGGACAAGAAATTCAATCCATGGCCTCACCAGCAGATCAAGCACTAGCTCAGAGCAGGTCTGTAGATCCCATCACATGCAAAGCTATTTGTTGTGCACAGACTAATGCCCATACCAAAATGTACAAACACATACGCAGTAAAAGGTGACCAGGAAAGATTCATGTATGCCTTGTATGGGGTGAATTCATGATTTAGAATTCAAACCAGAACTAAAGGAAAGCTTACTTTTTTTACAGTATAGCTAATTTTATTATTCCAATGATACAACACACGCCCTCATTGGAAATCTGTATTTAAATCGATGAAGAATACACTGCTACAAAATAATCTTCATATGTTGGAAGCCTGAAATTTGATCATGTACTAAATGCCAGCACAATCCCTGTTCCAGAAACAGCTCGCTCACTCCAGTCTGGCCTGGACTGCAGCATGTATGTGAGGACAAACAACGATCATTAAAGATACAATAAAAAAAAAAAAATGTGCAATGAGAATCTTTGACTTTCACAGCTACCAATATCAGGCATATGGTATACATTCATATGGTATGCTGCCTATTCTTCTATCAAAGAAACACTGCACAGACTCCCCAGTGCAAGCAGAGCCTGTTCAGGAGAGGCAGGAACACAGAAGAATATCATATCTTTATGAGATATGAATATCTGGTCCTTTCACAGAATTGTTGGATTGATCCACGATGAAATGCTGGATACATAATATGGTTAACAATGGAATTAGAAGCTACAAAAAAAAAAATTATGGGTTCCTCAACCCATGCTAAACTCCTTCATAGATACATATATCGATAATATACAAAAAAAAAAAACCCTTCAATAAAAACACTACAAATCTTTTATGATTAGGATTAGTTTAATAATATATGAACTAGTATAGAATGTGAATTACAGAATTGCATATTAGAACATGATTAAGACCTTCTCTCCTCCAGAGACTGCCCATATCAACCTCAGTCAGCAAATACGTACCAGATACATTGATGGAAGTTCCGGCATCGATGACACCGCTGTTGGGCCGGACGCAATACCGGCGTGGAGCTGTCGTCTTCACTTTGAAGCACACATTTTTGTCTGTTGGGTTAGCAAGCTTCAGGGTGGTAATAACAACATCTGTGAATGGACCTAAGAGGAAGTGGTGAAGATCAGACCTTGAAATCCATGTAGAAATCTGTCTTTTTAAAGAGGAAATTCTAGTTTGTGTAAATTCACTATTACCTGCACATTATTTTCTGGGTGTAATGTAGTATTTTACTGACACATTGCATTAAACTTAATTTTGATTCTTTAATACAACGAAAAGGAACTGAAATTACTTGTTAAACCGCTAGTTGATGTCTTACCTGAAGCTATCATTCCTTGATTTCGGTCTATAGAACTCTCTAAAGTTTATCCTTTTTTAATGTGATGAACGACAATTAACCAAACAAATTATTTAATAACACATGCGCAGGTGTGATGGCGCCGCTTCATGTGTACAAGTTAACACGTTTTCCAAACACATTTAAACCCCCTTAAAGACAGTGGTCACCACAGACACATACTTGTAGGCGATCACCGCAAAGATGCCAACACCATGATCACAAACGTGTAAAGCTGAAAACAGCCATAACTACACAAAGAAAGTAGACGTCGCAAAAACTTTTTCGTTACTGCCAGAAATTTATTAAAGCATTTCTCAAGGCTTATAGGCCAATCAACTGAACATGTAACAGAGAATGAGACACAACTAGTAAATTTACTCATCAGGTTGTACGTGGCATGTCTCTTTGGCTGCATAAATCCAGGCAGGGATAAAATTTATGGTCGACACTTTTTTTTGTTTCAGCTTGTGTGTTAATAAGGTTTAACTCCATGAAACGTCCACATAGATACATACTATTTTTTAACTACATATGTGGATTGATTGAAATCTTTTCCTGTGCAGAAATGAGCATTAAGCCTCCTTCCCGTTTTTACTAGAGCTTGTTTAGTGTGCGACGCCGCGCACGCACAGGATGGAGGATCGTCTGAAGATAGTGACCCAAGAGAAAACAGGACAAGAAACAACTCCAACACAAGGCTGGTTTGGCACAAATGGGTGCGCCTTCAGCTGCCATTTCTACCTGCCTGTCAAAGTGCTAGCACGATCATGCGGAACATATTAAACTTCCCTTAAGTTGTTAGTAATAATAATAATAATAATAATAATAATAATAATAATAATAATAATACACATATAAATGTCGCATTTGTCTAAATGGTGTCGGTAAAGGTAGAATGCGGGCCGTTCAGGAACTGGTGCATCATCAAGGTTACGCCACGTTAGGCAGCCGGTTAATAAGCGAGCAAAAATGCAGGCGAATTGAGACACACTGTGTCACAGAACAGAAAAGGGAGCCGGATTTAAGGTGCGGCGATCGGTCCAATGTACTATCCTCCCCGAGTGATCCGGCCGGCAAGCGACCCAGCAGAGGCCTCGGGCGGCAGTGTAAATACGGACGGGTCTCGGCACCGCACCGATGACCGTGGCTCGTCCCCTTCTTCACCCATAAAACTAGAAAAGCCGAGCCGTCGCTTGGGATCGCCGACACGGCGTTCACAAACCCACTGCCTCATCATTTTGGTTACATATTTGATCGTCGTACTAAATAAAAACACTGGCAAACTAATGTCAGGCCCTGCCCCTTTGCCTTACCTCGGAATTTCAGTTCATGTTGTGGTTCCAGCAGCAGGACCTGCTCTTGTCTGGCCATGTCCCAGCCGATCGGAGGTATCCTTCTCTTTCAAGGGCTCCCCGCGTCGCGATTTTATCAATCACCTGCAGTGGTTCCAAGTTTTTTTTATTATTATTAATATTACTCTTTTTATAAGTTACACGGTGCTTCGGACGCAAGGGGGGAAAGGAGAGCGGTGCGAGGCTGCGAGCCGCTGAGTGATGATGCGGGAAGGATGTGACCGAGCAGCTCCCGCTGACGTCATGCTGTCATGTCGCGCACTTCTCTCCTAAATTAAGCTCCGTAAGGAATAACAAAAGCTGGAAAACAGGGAATGATCAAAGTCGATCCTGCCCGCAAAGTCCCCTCTCGGTCTGCATTGGCCATCGGTAGCAATGCCCGTGCGTAACACAATGTATCTGCGTGATCCAGCTGGCAGACTTCGTATTCTGGTTTTTGCTCTTGTTGGACTGTGAAACTTTAACAAAATAATGTAAAACATTGGAATATATATATATATATATTAAAATACTTTCTCAAATTAAAGACTTACTATATTATTAGTTGATTAATAGTTATTAAAAGCAAGAAAAATTATTATGCCCGCAAGAAAAAATAAAGTAGTGTTTGGCATAAGATTGTATTTGACATAATAATAATACCTCGCTGCATTAATAAATTATTTGGAGTGTCTTAAAAAACGTATTAAGAAAACATAAGCTTGTTTTTAAAAGAACGTCCTTTATCTGTACTTATCACTATATCCTTTCAGACACATTATATCTCACAAATAATTCAGAGATGTCTATAAGTACGGCTTAGTCATGCCGCCTAAATCCGGACAAGAGTTTGGATGTACGGAGATACCAGCGTACATCGCTCAGCTCCAATGCAGTAGGGGGCGCTATGATAATACGCGGTCATAGTTAAACTGTCAGCTATTTGTCAAAACATCCGCGAAGAAGCGAAGTAAGCGGAAGCAAATAACACCAAGAAACAAATGAGCATCGCAGAGGGTGGAGAGGAGGGTGAGTCATTGGAAAAGTAAATAGCCTGTTGATATTCATTTTGCTTTTGTATCGAACAGTTGCGTTATCGTTGCGGCGTTTTAACATATTGTTTGTACAGTTTCAGAATGGCTCTATTTGGAAAGTTGTTTGGCAGCGGGGGGAAAGGTGGCAAAGCTCCGAGTCCACAAGAGGCGATTCAGCGACTTCGTGAAACCGAGGAGATGCTGACGAAGAAGCAGGAATTTTTAGAGAAGAAAATTCATCAAGAGCTTTTGACCGCAAAGAAAAACGGCACTAGAAATAAGAGAGGTAAGGGTAAGAGAGACTGTAAGAGCGTTAGGTACCTACTTTTGCAAGGACTAATAGAGTTATGATCAATAATTTTAAGTATAGGTTCTCCAAATGATTATTAGGTGTAGCCATATGTATATTAGGTCAATAAAGAGTGCCCAGTTCAATGTTTTGAGGCAGGAACTAGCGATATCACCAGTTTTATTAGATGATTACGTAGTGTAGGTTAATTTAGTAACGTAGTGAGTTTTTATTGGTCTCTGAACTCTGCAGCAGCCAAATGCCTTGCCTTTTCGCTAGTTATGCTTTTCTAATTTGAGATTAACATGTAATTAACTATACCCTGCACCGAATAAGTTATAAAACATGGATGGATATTACTTTTATGGTTGAAATATAGCCTTTGAACTGTTTTAAACTGTATAAGAAAGATAGTCATGGTTCTAAAACTGTCTTTTCACACTGTCTAGTCAAACAGGAAAATAAGCTAACAGTCATGGGCTAGACAGTGACAGCGGGCCTAGACAATTTGGAAAATAACTGGAATGGTCTGGACTGGGGGGCCCAATATGATATACCTACATGGGGCCCAAAATCTCTAGCAACGACCCTGATGACAATAGAATTTTTCAGACAAATTTCAGCAAGACACATCCATGTAAGGTAGATATTAGATTAGATATTGTTGCCCCATTTGTTTCATAGGCTTTGCATAAACCCTCTCTGCTCTTCCTCACATACAGCTGCCCTGCAGGCATTAAAACGCAAGAAACGCTATGAGAAGCAGTTGAGCCAGATCGATGGCACACTGTCTACCATGGAGTTCCAGCGGGAGGCCCTAGAGAACGCCAATACCAATGCAGAGGTGCTGAAGAACATGGGCTTTGCAGCAAAGGCCATGAAGGCAGCTCACGAGCACATGTAAGGAATCACTTGTCCTTGGGTAAGGTGTTCTGTGCTTTACCTCTTTGACACAAGTAAATTCCCCATTGTCTTGTGTTGTAGGGACATAGATAAAGTGGATGATCTGATGCAGGATATTACTGAACAGCAGGAGCTGGCCCAGGAAATCTCTGATGCCATTTCAAAACCAGTGGGATTTGGAGAAGAGTTTGATGAGGTATAATTCCCTGTGTTGATGTTATATAACCTATAATTATGTCTCTGGTTAGCCATTTCTCACTTGCCGCACTTAGCTTTCAGTTGGTAAATTCTGATAATATTTCGCAACAAGCATTTATTGCTGATACAATGGATGAAGCTAATGAGCATGTGGTTTTATTGTCCTGCATTCTAGGATGAACTTATGGCAGAACTGGAAGAGCTGGAACAAGAAGAATTAGACCAAAAAATGTTACAAATTGGTTATTCTGATAATGTTCCTTTACCCAGTGTGCCCTCTACATCCTTGCCTTCCAGGAAAGGTAAAACATTTCCAGATTTTACAATTATTATAGATGCAGAAAGACCTTGCTTTACTTCTTAGCTCTGTGCAGATATGCAGGTTGAATGGTTTGAAGGGTCATTTGTAGAAATTCTTTAAATGTAAATGTGTCCTTATGTTTCATTTCCCATGTAAAGCATGGATACTGTAATATTAATTCAATTAAGTATTTATTAAGTGGTAGAAATACTTTGGTGGGGATAATATTATGTTGAAATACAGTTTGAGTGCAATGTCTTGAACTGGTGCAAACTTTACAGCTTTGCTAAAGCTGAGCATAATGGAATCATAACGAAATAATATCCCCTCATGCAAAAGAGAATGGTAGATGATGTACAGTGATAGCTAATGGGCTTTGCCTGCCTGTGTTGCTATGTTGTATTCATTACACTAAGACTTAATATTGCTGCAATTCATGCAAAACCCAGATGACTTTACATCTGTCAGATTATTGTATACGTATCTATGTATACGTCATGCATGAGAATGTGTTTAGTCTTTTAGGACCAGACCAGTTTGGCCTGACTTCCAAGTATCAGCACTATTTATGCCCACCAAAGGAAGTCTTTTCAGTGTTTCTATTCTTAGATTGGAACAAATTTCTTGTATTTTTTTTTTTTTGTCCAGAAAAAACAAAGGATGAAGATGAAGATGATATGAAAGATCTGGAACGCTGGGCTATGGAGGCGATGTAAACATTTTGGGGACATTGGAAAGAAGATTTTTGTAATAGTTTTGTGTGTGTGTGTGTGTGTGTGTGTGTGTGTGTGTGTGTGTGTGTGTGTGAGTGAGTGAGAGAGAGAGAGAGAGAGCCTTAAATGATCTAGGAAAAGAAGATAACTTGTTCTTGTACTCCTCTAGCAACATATGGAAAGTCAGTATTCTTACTGTTCATGTGTTATTATTTTGTTATTTGTTTTGCAATATTGCTGTATTCTCCTTAACTGGACCATTGTGTTGCCTAGCTTACTAAACATTTTAGCCAAAAGAAGCTTAAATGTAACATATAGATACTATCAAGAACACGCATACAGTACATAACCAAAACACTGTTTGTTTTTCAATGATTTAGCCAATTAACTAGGCATGCTGTGCGCCATTGTGATGCATTTGGTGCTGCTGATGAAACTGTTCACATTTTGCACCCAGGAATCAATACAAATTTCACCTTCTTGCAACAGACATAACAACTCAAATGGTCAACAAATGATACTTCCAAATCACTACAATGTCATACATGATTTGTAACTCAAGTAATCTGAGTGTCCTGTGTTAGTCTTGGGATACTGTTTGTATGTGATGCTGTCGGCAAACACTAAAATGAACAACAGCAAAAAAAAAGTAAAAAAAAAAAAAATGTGTAAGATCTTTATGTTGGCATGAAAGTATTACACATATAAGCTTATTTATAATTTATTTGGTTCTAAAGCATTCAAAAAACTGAATGGGATGCAAATTTACTCTTGCTTCACAGAACTTGTGTACTTAGATTGGTCATGTGTTTTTTGTTAATTTTGGAAAATTATAGTTGTGACAGTGTTTACAGTTATTTTGACTAATGTTCATGTGACTGTGTTTACAGTGAATGTGCTGCTTTGCAGCTTGTCCACAGTATCTTCAAATGTGCATGTTTCAGATCTTTGGACTGCTGAAATATTTGCAGGTTCATGGAACTTGCTACTGGCACATTTGAGTGATGCCAGGTCTGGCCTCTAGAGGAGATCCCTTTTGGCAGCTAGTACCTTATTTTAAAAATAGTCAAGCTGTGGATAGAGTGGATATACAATGTATATATTTCAATAATTACCTTTTAACCTATGTTTTTCAAAGATGGACAACATATTTAATTGGGCATGCGCTGGAGTTGTTAGATGTATGTATTTGGGACTATAAGTTATGTTTGTGTTATTATTATGTATTTTTTATCCAAGGTAACGTAACTTACATCTGACACATGCTGTTGACAAATTCTGCCGTCGCGAACATTAGCAACCGATTAAGCATGCAGGCTTATTTTTAAGGTAATTTTTAAAATGGCACTGTGTGCCTCTCTAAATTAAACATTGTTATATAACTGATATAGAATGTTATTCTACTTTGTCAGATGTCTAATGTCATATGCAGGGTATGTATTAACTAAAGCCATAAGGCAGTGGTTGAATATAAAATGTTGAAAAAAGCTGAATCTAAGCAGATACTGCTTCCAGTTTACATTAACGTTTTCTGTAGAGTGTGCAAATTACATTGACGCTTGAATGTTTAAACAGTTGTAACTTGTATACATTTTTGTTTTATCTAAATGAAATGTATTTGAGTGATCATTAAACTTTATCGTTTGTTTCTTGTATTCATTTGGTGCGTTATAAAAATGACATACGTACAGCTGCAGGCGTTAGAGATTATTTCAGAAACATAAAAAAATTGACCTATCCATTAGTCACTCCCAATTTTAAATTCACTTATACCAAATTATGTTGAATTTATACCTATTTGTTTATTCGGAGAATTTAGAATATCAACCCGAACATTAAATATCGTCATTTTCACGGAAGTTGGAACATGATGCCGGTGTTCTGACAAAACGTCCTACTTTATCAATACATCCTACCGTAGTGCTAATCGATAGCCCTTATATTAACCACCCCCATCCCCCCCC